ACACACACACACACACACACACACACACACACACACACACACCCATCTATCTATTAATGTTAAGCTTCACAGCCTTCCAAAATCACTTATTTCTCACAATTTGCTATGAGGAAAGCGCTTATGGCCCTGTATCCTCTAGCTGTTTGAACTACTTTTCCCAGAGTGCTTTGCAACTAGCAGTGAAGGCAAACTGAAGTGAAATAGTCTAGAAACACCAAGCAACATATCTGAGGAAACCATATTATGAACATATTCAATTACATAAATATCTTTATTCTTTATACACTTTCAGCCATACTCAATTCATCTTTTGGTATGGCACAATAAGTGCCAACTGAAACATTTGGCAAACGGACTCTATGCTGAGAGGCTTGAATAGGTAAGATTTCATCTTTGAAGATAACGACTTCCTTGAGGCAGCCTGGACTTCTGATGACTACATAGGCATGTCCATATAGTATTTTTGGCAAATAAATGGCAACAGTTTGCCATTGAGTTCTTCTGTTTTTGTTTGATTTCCCAGTCTAACTTACAGCCCTGGAATTTCCTGGTGGTTTCCCATCCAAATACTAAGCAAGATCTGATCCTGATTAGCTTTCTCGATCAGCCACTGTTGGTTAGGTGCTGCCATCTATTGGACAAGTCATAATTAGCTTTTTCAAAGTACCATTCTTGTATAATCTTTAAAGTACAATTATACAAATGAATACCAGTCTGCACCTTTATCATCCAACCAGAGCCACTGGAAAGGTAAGTTCAGCTGCCAAATAACTTTGTGATTTGCTGGCTAGACCCAGTGGTGTACTGGAGCTGGTGTGTGCTGTCTCATGAGAGCTGATGATTGTATTTTCTGGAATTTTGTGAGCCGATTGAGAGAAGTGCTGAGCTGATCAGCTATTTTGTGGCCAGTGGGATGGTGCAGTGGCCACGATGGAGCCAGCACTGTTGTGAGGCCCAGAGGCATTGGATTTTTTTTTTTTTTTTTTTGGAAAGCTGGTGGTTAAACATTTACCAGCACACCACTGGCCAAATCCATGACATCCGAGATGGGACATTCTATTTAATTTGGCAAAGCAACAGTTCTTTCTCTCCAACACTAAATGAACCTTGAACATATGCTGAAATCCAAGATCTCAGGGAAAAAGATAACAGCTCAGTTAAACTGACTACTGACTTTTTTTTTTTGAAATCCTGTGTACTTGTCTTCCCTTGTTTTCTCTATTCTCCTTTTCTCAACAAACTTATTTTCATATCTAGAAGTTTGGCTACATTGGTTTTTAGAATGGAAATTCTCATTACAGTCTTCCCCATGTACATGACCCAGATCAGTGTTTCTTAAACCTTTTGCTCTCAGGATACCCCCCCACTTTTAAAATTATGGGGGACCCCAGAATAGCTATTGTTTGTATGGGTTATATTTATCAATGTTTACTGTATTAAACATTAAAACTGATACATTTGTAGAATATTTATTTATTGAATCATGTAAAAACGACAGTATTAAACCCATTAGATATTAACATAAATAAAATATTTTTCATGAAAAAACACTATACTTTTAACAAATAAAAATTTATAATGAGAAGAGTAATATTGTTTTAAATTTTGTAAATATCTTCAATATCTGGCAAATGATTTGATTTCATGCGCTCCCCAAGGCTCTTCAGACCACACTTTAAGAAACATTGACTTAGATAATTATAGTAATACTAGTAGTAGTTTTATTTATTATGTGCTTGTAACTAAATACAATACATGGAATAAAACAACTGAAATAATAATACATTACAATTAACCATAATATAAAATATGGAACCTTTAAACTAGAAGATTCATAACTGTTTAGCTAGATCAGACCAGAAAATCAACTCCACAGGAAGATCAGTACTATACTTTATTCAGACTGGCTATAATAAGAGAATCTTACAAGTCATTTTATGCTTTACCTCCCCTCCTTATACCTCAAAGAATCAGGGAGGTGTTTGCCTGAGCTGCTTCTGAATATGATCTTGTTTCCCAGGACTTAAAAAATGTTTCAGCCCTCTTTGCCTAGGTAATGTAGAAAAACTTGATACTGATTTTTTAATGCTTTTGTTGGTTGAAGAATAGAATCACAAAATGCTTCTGAAAACTTAACAATGACTTGTGGGATCATAGACAATAGAATGAGTCTTTCAATATGCTATAACAAAGTTTACAAATATCATTATTATATTTTAGCATAAATATCATGAGTCAACTGTTGATTAAACAAAGTCCATATTAGTATTGAACTAGAGTTACTGCTGTGTGTGTACTACTTGTTGGTGATCCAGAGATGTATCTTTTACAATCACAAAATAAGCTTTCTAGTACTGAGCAAGATTGAGCAATGTTCTTGCAGCCAGAAGTCACTTTTTTTTTTTTTGCCCTCCAGAGACTGTAAAAAGCACAGCAAGACTAACATTTTTAGTTCCCTTTCGGGGATGGGAATGGACAAGTTAAGGAGCAAATAGGTGTATTAAGTTTTTCTGTTATTGTTGTTGCCTTTGAGTCAGCATTGGCTCCTGGCAATTGCCTGGACAAGCTCCTGCAGTTTTCTTGGCAAGATTTTGGAAGTGGTTTGCATCTGCCTCCTTCCTAGAGCTGAGAGAGAGTGACTGGCCCAAGCTCACCCAGCTGCCTTTGTGCCTAAGGCGGGACTAGAACTCAGTGTCTTCTGGTTTCTAGCCTGATGCCTTAACCACTACACCAAACTGGCTCTCTGTCTTATGCTTTGCAGGCTTGCAATTGACCCAGTTTGAGGGAGATAGGGCAGGGAAAAATGTTAAGGATCAAAACAGATCTCTTCAGTTCTTTAAACCCTTCCAGTTGCTCCAAAAACAACTGCCTCCTCCCAAAAAGGACAAGAAGTTGTCCTTGCCCACACCAGTGATATTATGGGGCTGTAAAATGGGTATCTAGGTAATATATGTGGCCTACAGTTTGCTCATATAAGGAACAGATTACAGTAAAGATAATTCTTTTTTAGTAAGAAATGAAGCCTTACCTGCTTTTGTAGTAGCCGTCAAAAAAACTTTGGCGTGGAACAGATGGAAGCAAGTATAAAGGTGGCAAACTGGAATCTTCATTACTATCAGAGCTAAAGTGATGAAAATAATAACAGTAAAAGCAGTAAGACTAGAATTAGCAGCTGAAACACCTAGGAAATTAACGATGACTTATCAGCATCACCACTCCTTTGTTCTTCCCTTTTGATGTAGCCAACAGAGTAAAGTCCCACTTACTCTAAACCAGACTTTAATGAATACTGCAAATTAGTTTTATTGTTATGTCTCAGCCAGGTGGTTTTTGAACTGTTGAATTTGTCCTATTTTAGTTTATTGACATGTTTTGTTGCAGACTGTTTTTTGAAATGTTATTTTTAATAGTAATTTAGTACCCTACTGTGAACTGCTTTGGGTGCAGTTTATCTGGGAACGTGGCAAGGGTAACAGCCTTACACTGAAGGTCTTTATGGCACAGACAGGACATTATTTATCACATTTTACTTTTTTTTTAAAAAAACAAGAACTGGGATGAACTCCTGGAATATGGGTAATAATCTGAGTATATAAGAAAGTCTTTTACTCAGGAATAGCATCTTGAAAACAATAATGGTGAATCCTAGGAAACTAAACATGTATACTGATATAATCCCTAAGAACTGTCAACATCAGAAATACAAATAATATAATAATGGGATTAGTTGACCCATGCTTCATGGGAGCTGTTAATATCCATTCTTTGTAAAGTGCCATGTATACAGATGGTATTCGATAAGCCATACAAACAAGGATGCCTTGGGGATGTGTCTATTGGAAATGGCACTTCTGATTCTGTAAATTATTCTGTGCAGTACAATCTGAGAAATAACATTTGTATATTCCTCACATTAAAACACAAAGTATAATAATATACCTGTTTGGAAATTTATTAGCACCACTTTGTGTCTTTTGTACAACAGGAAAGGGGTTTGGTATTGCAGGATATTTCTCCATACCCTGAGAAAGGCGTGGCATTGCAGTATTTTCACTGGAATCGCTCAAGCCATATGCAGACACATATTCTGCTTAAAGAAATAATTCAAACTCAGAAACATGAAACATCAAGTCAAAATTTCAAATACTGTACTTAGAGCCTTAATTATAAATGCTTAAAAATCAACCACACTGAAATCAATGGGAAATAAGGAAATATGTCCAGAATAAGTAGGGACGTGTTTACCTAGAAATACTTTTAACTTGGCTGTCTAGGAAAAGAAGCAAAACGAAAACAGAAACAATCCTCAATAACAGGAGAACCTTCCATGAAATCATTTTTAGGTATATAAATGCTTAAACCAAAACAAAGCAGAAGAAACAGAAACTAAAAGCTGTCTACATCATGACAATTCCACATTAGAAACTTGCCAAATGAATAACATGTTCCTTATGCTGCACTGGCAGTTCCCACTATCTGCTTGAAACACGCAGGGAATACAGTTGCAACAGAGATATAAGCTCTATGGGGTGCAATGTGACTTACTCCCAGATATATGTGTGTAGGACTGCATTCTAAGTAGGTGGAAGGACCAAAATGCATCAATCTCAGAAAGCTGTGAATGGCAATATCATCAAACGTAAGGAAAAGAACCTCTGAAAAATAGCTATAGAAAAGTTTGGCTATTCTAATCTTGATCACATGTTGCTAATATTGTTATTACCTTTAATATTATTTAATGTTATTTAATATCTAATATAATATCCAATTATTTAATTTATTAATAATCATTAATTCTTATTATAAATATTTATAAATATTATTAATAATTTTATTTAATATTTAATATATTATTTAATATTGCTATTACCTTTAAAGCCCTACATGGCATGGGCCCAGGTTACCTGAGAGACTGTCTCATCCCCATTTCATCAACCCGTCCCACCTGGTCAGGCAGAGAGGGCATGTTGCGGATCCTGTCAGCGAGGGAATGTCGGCTGGCAGGGCCCAGGAAGAGAGCCTTCTCTGCCATTGCCCCCACCCTTTGGAATATTCTCCCTGCAGAGATGCGGTGGGCCCCTAGCCTCCCGGCTTTCTGAAAAGGCTTAAAGACCTGGCTCTGTCAGTGTGCATGGGGTGATATGGGCTCTACCCGTCCCTGTGGGCGGTTAGCCCCCTGATGATGCTCCCTGGAATTACCCAATTCTCCATCTTCTTGGAACCCATTTGTTTTTAGGTTTGTTTTTATGTTGCATTTTAATGAATTTTTATCTTGTTGTAAACCGCCTAAAGTCTTTCATGAGATGGGCGGTGACAAATTTGATAAATAAATAAAATAAATAAATAAAATTATAATTACTATCTAAACTGTATATACCATTAACTACTGTTTATATTTATATAAAAGATTTATATAAGTGCCTTCAGCCCTCCATCCCAGACAATTTACAAGCAAATGCTCAAATATAGACATCAAACAAAGCAAAACAGTAAGAACACAAAACATTAATAACTCTGGGGAAGAAAGACTTTTTAAAATCTTAAGAGATTATATAACCTTATGACAACACTTGTATAAAAATACACAACTAGATTTGATAAATTTTTTTAATGAATTTTCTGCAATGTATTTATAACACGTTTTACCTTGTTTAATTCTTTTTGTCTTCAAAACTGCATTTTTCCAACTATTCATAAATGATTGACTTTTAAATAATGTTTCTTTATTATCCAGGAATTTATTGTCAAGCATCAGGGATGGCAACTTTCTTTCTTTTAGGGTTGGCTGGAAAGTGGTATATTTGCTATTTCAGATGGCAAAATGGAACATCATGGGGACACATAAAAACAACAAAAAAGTAATATTTTTCAAATGTTATAAAGCAGAGATATATTTCAGATAATAATTGAGTCACTAAAGAATCTGGTCACAATGCTGCATTTTATTTCAAGCACACCTTCTTTCAGCTTTCCATAACCAAGCACCGAACTACAACTTCTGGAATTCCAAGACAACAGGGCCAATGGAAGATGTAATGCCTGCCAACAGATCTGAAGAAACCAAGTTACAAAAACCTTCCCTAACTGATCATTCCCAAGTAGTATTGGTCGGACTAACTGACTGGTTCTACACATTAACTATTATTGGTGGCTTTAAACATTATAGTTTTAGGAATCTCTTTCTATATCAGTAGTTTTATGTGAAACTCCTAAACATCAGCCATGGTATATTGAAGTATTGTGGAAAGTCTTGGAAAATGTTCTTATATGCTTGGTCCATACAAGGAACTTTTCAGGCATTCAGTAAGAGTAGGCAAGCTGGCTTTCAGAAATGTCCATATTCTATTTTTCATTATTTCATTAAGGAAATTTAATCACTCTCTAAAGAAATTGTGGGTCTCAAGCAAGAAATAGTCTGAAAGTCACAGTTACAAACAAATGTGCACCAAAAGTAAAAAGACTGTTTTATTAAAGAAACAGACCTTATAATACCATTGCTATCACTGTCTTGGCTGTGGACCCTTTTATTAATATTTCAGCGTTAATGTTTCCAAACAGGTATTTCAGTTTGTTCAATCTCTCTCTACCCTAAAATAGCAAATGGTGTGTCCCAAATGTGTTTATCTACCAAAATACTAGCATATTTTCATTAAGAATATTTCTAATAAATTCCAAGGTGCTAGAAAAAGAAGAGAATGGATGAAAAAAGAAAACAGTTGACTTTAAATATGCGTCTCTCAAAATCACCATCAAAGAAAAATATGCCACAATTTTAACCTCATGACTACATTAAATAGCAAGTTGTTTTGCTAACAGCTTTCACCTACTATTATTTTGTACAGACATTAACTTAATTTACTTTGATTGATTGATTGATTGATTACTGTATGTGCCATCAAGTTGTTGTTAGCTCTTAGTGACCACATAGACAGATCTTCTCCATGATGATCTTTCAGGTCTTTCAACAGTATACTCAACACCGCTATAACTAAGACTACCTTTGTTACTGCTGGTCATCCTCTTCTCTTTCCTTCCATCTTTCCCAGCATTAGAGCTTTTTCCAGAGAGCTGGGTCTTTGCATAATGGGTCCGCAGTAGGATAATTTGAGCTTGGTCATTTATGCCTTGAGTGAGAACTCTGGGTTGATTAGTTCAACGATCTGTTGGCTTGTTTTCTTGGCTGTCCATGGTATCCTCAGGAGTCTTCTCCAATACCAAAGTTTAAAAACACCAGTACTATTCTATCCTGCTTCTTCAAAGTCCAACTTTTGCTTCCATAGAATGTCACAAGGAATACCACAGCTTGCACAATTCTGATCTTGGTAGGTATAGACACATCATGGCATTTGAATATTTTTTCCAAGGCCTTCATAGATGCTCTACTAAGTACTAATCTGCAGCGTATTTCTTGATCAGACATAGCAAATAGTAATTCAAGAGAATTCTTAATCACTCATACCACTTATCTTTGAGTCCCTCTCTCTGCCCCACTCACTTATAAAAAAAACCAGTGAACTGTCTGCTTCAATTAAAAAGTACAAATATATTTCTGTGGAAATGCTAGATTAGAGTAGACCAACAGTAATATGTTTTCTATTAAAAAAAATAAAATATTTAGAAAATATTTCTAAAATAAAAAAGGATCTAATTGACCCTAGCTTAAAATACTTGCCATTTTGGAACACATGAGATCTCTGGGAGCTTGCCATCATATGCCTGTAAATCTGTAATGAAATAATACTCTGTTTTCATTTGAAAATGTAAAGAATCACCACTTTTTCAAAAAAAAAATTATTGGGGAGGAAAGTAAATATTTTATAGAATAATGAGAAAAAATCCATTAAACTACTATAATTTTTTTCTCTTCTTTTGTAGGAGTAAATAATTCAAATCAAAATCTGATTTGAATCAAGATACTTAGTTAAGCAAAGGAGGAGGGAGGTATTTTATCAAGGGAGGGCTATGTTTTTTAGTAACAAAATATTTTCTCTAGTATTGGTACCCCAAAGTAAATATAATATAAAAATAGCTAATAATAATAGCTAATTATAATTAACGTATTATTATATAATAATAAAGTTGCAAGTACTAGAGAAAGCAATGAAAACATTATTCATTTAGTCTATTTATAAAACAATCTTAAATTGTTTAACATACATATTTATATTCAAAAGATTAGATCCATCCCTACTGAAATAATTCATGTATCTATGGCTATACCTAGATTCTACACAACAACAAGACAAAATCATCAAAATCAATAAAAGTACAGAAACCCCAGAAAATCTCATTAAAACTTTCCTGCAAGCCTATAACATAACTTTCCCAACTCCCTGGATAAGGGGGATTACAATTCATATCAACTCTGGCCCAAAACTTTCAGAGGAAATAAAATACTAAACTAGCAATAAAACATGTTGAAATATCTGGGCAATAAAAATAAGTGTTTGCCTGAGATCAACAAAGGCATTATAACTAGCACTATGTGTACTTCTTTAGGGAGGACATTCCACATCAATACTCAGACAAGGGTGGTCACCATGTACTGAACATCAAGTGTCAAGAGATACAGAAAAGAACCTCAGATAACAAATAAAAAGTTCAGCCAGGCTCACGTACCATAAAATATTATTTCAACTTACTATGCCTATCTTCATACCATTTAAATTTCTATGGGCAATAATTGGGCACTGATTGTATCTGGAGTTAGAGTGACAGTAGCACAGCTATGTAAGCATTGGTTAGATATGATGCACAGAGCTGACTCAAGTTAGTTGGCCAGATGTAGGCACTGCATTTTGTAATACAGGTAGTCCTTGGGATTACAACCATTCATTCAGCCACCGTTCAAAGTTAATACTGTAAGTCGTAAGTATGAGGACCAGTCATAGCACCATCGTAAGTTCAAAATGTTGCTGAATGAGTGGTCACTAAGAGAGGACCACCTGTATTCTGAATTCAGTCATTTATTATTTTTTTCTGTGTTCGTTTTGAATCCTTTGGATTATATATAATGCAATATATAATATATAATATATTAATATAATATATATATATATATATAATTTATTCCTTCCTGTAAGAACTAGTTATTTGTTTATTAGATTTATATAAATATTTTCTTCTCTCCACAATAATAGCACTATATTTTTTCTATAAATATTAATGTATCCAAATAAAATACTGTATATAAAACTGAGACACATACACATAAGGGACCTAATGCTTAATAATTTTAAATATATATTATCCTACTGAAAATTCCTAGTATAAAAGGATAAATAAAATATAATTGCTGTAGAAGAGGCTAAAACAGATGTGTTTGTATAACTTGCACAGCATTTTACAATTTTCCTGTTGGAACACATTCAACTTATATTAATGTTAAAGAATAAAAAGACACAGTAATGCTGGTAGCTGGGAGTACTTTGTGTCTGGGATGGGCAGCTGTGAGGAAAAGATTACACTTCCCCAGCAAAGACAGATTTATAATGGATCCCTTTTGCCACATCTTAAGGCTATTCTATTGCAGCCTGTGGCTTAATGGGATTTTTCTTCAGCCTTCTAATGCCAGGAGAAATCCTGTAAAAGGCAACGGTAGTATCCTTGATTGTGAGAAACAAACAAAAAATCCAGACTTCAGATGCAACAGCTTTATTAATAGTCCAATTCAAAAGTTGCCAGGTTTAATGTTTCCAAGAACAAGCAAACTGTCTAAAGCCACATAGAGATGTGGGGATGGTTAATTATGGAGCTACCAGAACTATGCCAGGTTATATTCTTCAATGGGTCTTAGTGCATACATAGTAGTGTTACCTGTATGGTTACCATTAATCTTTGGGATGATTACCTTACTATTACAGTATTTCTTCAGGCTACAATGCTCAAAACCAACCAGTGAATCAACCCAAAAGAACACTAAAGCTGTAACATTCTGCATTTGTGTCCCAATCAATGCTTTCATTCAAATATTTCAAGCTTTCCAATGTCTTTATTTGCAGTAATCATACCATCCACACTCTTGCTCAGCTCTCTCAACCAGAGTCCACAAAGTCATACGCAATTAACCTGAGACAATAACATTTCTTTTAGCTCCACAATCAATCGCTGTGCCTAAAGTTTTTAAATTTGTCCCTCAGAAAAGTGTAACTGTTAAGAAAAACCCAGCAGGAAGATCCATTCTGTTCTCACAATGGCCAACCAAATGTCCATGGGAACTCTACAAGCAGACTGCAAAAGCACCCTTTCTTCTAAACTCCCACAGATGAGTATTTATAGGCATAGTGTTTCTGATAACAGAGACAAAATATTATATTAGTATGATTAATTATATAAGTAGTGGTGATTCCTCCTGCCTAAGTCCCTTTTAAAACTGTACAAAATTTTCTGGCAGAAAATTCTATGAAAGAATGTTTCTTTTTATCTGTTCTGAATCTGGCATTATTCAGCTTCATCGGATGCATTCTCTAATATTATGACAACCACTTTTTCTAAATCAGTGTTTCTCAACCTTGGCAGCTTTCAGATGGGTGGACTTCAACTCCCAAGGCTGGCTGGGGAATTCTGGGAGTTGAAGTCCACC